CAAGCGCGGTCTTTGCACGCGTGCTGAACAAGAATGCTGTATAATGACAGACTAGAAACAATAGACAACTCCCAAAGCACAAACTCAGCCAAAACGCTAAAAATCTTCAATGTTTACTCAAGTTTGGGCTTATAGAAGATAATGTCACAGTTTTTCAATTACCATGAAATTCAGAGTCTGGGTAGTTAGTTAATCAATTGTGGCCCTGAAAAAATTTGAAGGAAAAAAAACTACGAATTTTTAAGAAAATGCTTTTTTCGTGAGAAGGACTCTTAAACGCTGACAAACGTCAACAAATAGCGAAAACTATAATTTCTATATGTTTGCTTTGCTCGAAATCGCGCGCATTTACAAGGCCCTAAAGCGTTTTGCTGACTTGCAAGGACCCATCTGTTATAACGATGCCCAAAATAAAGAGATGAATCTCATAGTTTATTAGATATAATCCGTGTAAAGTTTGCTTATCATTTTCGCATAAATTATGACCTAAATTTGGAAACCGCTGAATTTCTCGAATTGGGTCTTTGCGATTTTGGTGAAACTCTGTTCAGCGCAAGGCACTAATGCGCACTATGTGTAGCCGAGAGATTTTCACGAAAAAATGCCGGCAACAGCAGATTTTCGACTCAGACCTCAAAGGGGCGTGGCATTATAACCACGTGACATTTACTCCGATCGCCAAAAATTTTATGTTATATTGTAGATTGATCTATATGTTATCCATTCTATGTGTTAGACTTACGATAAAAGTAAAGGTGGGGATACCAGAGAGCTTCAAAGTAGGGTGGTACCCCCCCAAAAAAACTGGGTCGAGTCACCTTAATGACATTGATTGCATCGATTATTACCTTTCCCCCGCCCCCCCCCAAAAAAAAAAATTGGAAAAAAAAATGTTACCCTCGACCCTCGACATGGTACCCTCGCCCTCGACATGGAACCCTCGACCCTCGACCCTCGACAAAAAGATAGACTCGATGAAAAAGTGTCTACTTTGCTGGATATTGGTCAGCTTACCTCTCTAATCATGAATTGTTCGTTTTCAACGGGAGAATCTTCGTGTTCTGAGACTGGAGTTGGATCTGCTATTCTTCCACTTTGGCGTGCAAACGAGATATGACCTGGCACCTCGCACGTCTTAGAATTAGTGAAAAGCGTGGTCGAGGAGAGGCAGAAGTCAGCAAATCGGGGGCAGGTGAGTGAAGACTTCTCTTTATATATTTAGTTAATTCTCGCGTACTCACGTGCTGTTTAGGTTATGGGACGTCTGATACGTGCGCTTCATGTATTGCCGGCACTGTTCATTCATGTGCAAGTAATTTAGGTTTTAGAGGCATGTAATATTGAGCCAAAGTAAACAGCAGAAAACCATGGAATAGCGATTCACTAATATTATACGAGTTACAAACCATATATGCCAATGGAATAAAAAATGCCGATAGAATAAGGCGAAGTTGAAAACGTTCACGCTTACCAAAAACCAATCTTATTTTAAAGTTGCAGTTTGCGCGCGTGCCATTTGGAGTCTGCGAATTATGCCTCATATAAAATTGGACTAGTGAGAGTATCATCAGTTATATGTAAAACTCTTCACCCAAACTTTTCAGTAAACATGAATTACGTTAATATAAAGATTAAAACAAAAAATACTGTTGGCATAGCAAAAAGAATTGGCCGCTCCAGAAAATACCATAACATACCATAATGCTTTTGATTGTCGCCCCAAAATTTTGCATAAGCATTGACTTCAGTTTCTCTTGGGAGTTAAAATGGCCCCAAGAGCAACTGAAAACAATGCTTATGCAAAATTTTGGGGTGACAAACAAAGAACATTATGGTATGTTACGGTATTTCTGGAGTGGTCAATTGTGATCTTCTTGCATTGTTCATTTCCAGCAAAGTATCTGGGAGGGAGGTATATGGGTCTGGCACTTTGTAATGGTTGGGCTGCGATTCTAATTGTTTTCTGTTGTTCTTTACTCTTGATAGCAATCCGCACAAGTTGTAGGCTGGAACACGATAAAAAGCGCGAGAAAGGTGATTTTGATGTACATTTGGATGAAGGCATGGAACAGGTCAGCTTAATAGCACTGTATATAGTCCAGTCCTGAACGAAGGCGAGGGTTGACTCACTAATTACTTAAGTTTACTAGATGAAGTTTACATAATATAGTTGGAACTGTCGATGAAATAAAAATTGGGAAAAAATGTAATATTTGCAATGATAAAACACGTGAACGAAGGGATTTGAACCCAAGGGGGATAACCAAGTCCATGTTCGTATAACGTTTGTTTTGACGAGAAATTCTCGTGAAAAATTTGTTATTACGGGATTCGAACTCACGATGACCCAATCTTGAAGATGCGATGTTCTTACCAACTGAAGCAACTGAAACATTTTCTTTTATTATGGGCTGCGTATTTTATGCTATAGTTTACATTGTTTATTTTCTGAGGAATAACAGGCCATATCCGAGTTCCTCCGGCCTCGGTATCAAAACGAAGTTAAGTGCTCAGCCTTTGATATGGAAATGTTTTTTCATTCTCATGTAAGTAAAACTCATTTTCACAAGAAAAGTTGTGCACTTGGCCTCATTTTGAAATTGAGGGTTTTTGGAACTCGGTGGTGGCCTATTCAAGTGCCGTTTATGTGGTAAGGACTAGTTTTTGAAGAACATGAGTTCGTTTACATGAGTTAAGATGTGCAAAATAAATAACGTTACAGCTTGGGACTAAGCCTCGAAGTGGGATAAAAAGGCAAAAAACGAGGTGAAACAGGGCGCCACCCTTTCTCCTTCCCAGACTACCGCTAGGCTCGCTTCACTCGCCGATTTATTTTCGCCCTTGCTGATCTGATATATTTTTCGCCTTTTCCCCACCGCGGAGCTTGATCCCAGGCTACTGACGTTAGGATCGGCATTAATCCACTGCCTAGTTAGATGTCATCAAATAGTTTGCTGTGATCTAAGAACTGACCAATAATGAAACTTCAGAATAGGAGAAGTGCTTACAGTGTAACTACATATAATCGCAGTATAATAAAGCCGGAGATTGCCAATTCGTGTCAATGAATTCAACTATTGGACCAATGCTTGGCTAGTAATCGTTATTTATTATTTATCTATTTTTTTTTACAGGAAGCTGGTGTGCAGTCTTCTTCAGGGCAAAGCTTTGTGACAACTCCAGAAGAAAATGAGGAGGTAGAATTAATGGCATGTGAAGCTACCATGAGTGAAGATGATGAGTGAAGACGCAGACGAGACTCTGTTGTCGCAGGCCTCTCAAATATAATCAGTGATCCTGAGGAAGAAGTAGGCATTTGTGCGACGAGAAGGAAATTCAAAATGAGAGACGACAGGCACTAAACGATGCCCTGGGAAACCTGACAAGTGGACGATTTAGTCCCATCCTTTCTACTTCAAATGCTTCATTGGACGATATTTCATCTACCCAACAAAAGTACTATACTCGCAAGGCGAGGGAAGCTGTTGCAGCTACGCTGTCAGTCATAAGTCCTGGGCAAGAAAAAGACCTTTGGAAATGTATCCAAAATGATTCAGACTTAATCGAGAGGGACGAGAGTAGCTCATCCAAAGGAAAGTATTTCGACACACACACTGGGCTCATTGATGTCTTGATCAAAGCTTATGATCAAGCGGAGTCGTGGCAAACTAAACGCCAGATCCTATCTCTTTTCGCAAATGACTTTAGCCGCAGAGAATTGCAAACGTTAATCCCTGGTTTAACTAACTGGAGAATTGACCAGGCTCCTCATGCAGCATACCACTGAGGCAGGAAAAGGACAAGCTGTTCCAGAACAAACAATCTTCCGAAAAAGGATTAATCAGGAAAAGTTGATCATTTCATAAGCTATATTTCCCAAGCACAGCTGCATCAAGATGTTGCATTTGGAACAAAAACTCTTAAGCTTGACTCTGGTGGACGCATCATCATTCCCGCTGTTGTGCGGACCTTGATTCCCTCTCGAATTATCGAACAGTACACAAACTACTGCAGAGCTAGAGTAGCAGTTTGAGCCGGCAAGCACACGCTGTCTGTTTAGAATGCTCGAAGTTTGCAAAGGCATCGATGCAGAGGTTCCCCTCATGGGCTTGATAATATCACAGCAGAAGGGACTGAAGCATTTGACAACCTGCGCGCAATTATAGAAACTTTAGTGGAAAACGGGAAAGAGCAGCATTGGGCTGAAACAATGCGACGAGACTTGAAAGAAGCAAAAAGGATATTTGAAGACCGGACTATAAAACGCACGTGGGTAGAAACGAAAACAACAGCGACCATTGTGCCGTACATGACCTTAATAAGCGACCCGGAGAATCCTGACTTCTGTGAAGAATGTACACACTCCCATGACATTCACTGTGATAGATGTGACTCCCTTGATTCGAATTTCCGCGACATATTAAAGAGGATCGATGACTTAGTCATCAACGACGAAACGAGAGCAAGAATAAACTTGGAGAATAAGGAGTGCTCTCGAGCACTCCATGCCTCAAGCTCATTTACTTCGTTCTGTTAATCAGGAAGAAGAAAAACATATCGCTCTTACTCAGCTTGACGAAGAAACATGCCTCATTATCATGGACTGGGCGATGAAATATCTGCCGCAGCACTTCAGGGAGCAGATGTCTGAGTTCTTTGGCAAACGGGGTAGGAGCTGGCATATTAGTGCTGTCATAACACACAAGAGGAGGGCAGATGTGAAGTTGAATGCTTTGTGCATCTCTTTAACACTTGCAAAAAAACAGCTTCGAGGTTATGTCAGTCATTGAGCATCTACTTCGCACCATCAAGATCGAGTACCCTTCAATCAACAAAGCTTTTTTGCGATCAGACAACGCTGGTTGTTATCACAGTGGGCCCATGATCCTCAGCCTTCCGGAAATCGGGACAAGATCTGGTGTAACAACACTTTTTTTATACGCTACGACTTTTCCGACCCCCAAGCCGGAAAAGATATTTGCGACAGGAAAACTGCCCCCATGAAAACTCACATCAAGAGATGGGTGTGTGATAACTGAGGATCTCAATGGGGTGGTGGCTTTTACGGTTATCGGCTAAAATTTTGGCTCTTTTACGGCTATCGGTTAATTTTTTTCAGTTGCGGTTAACAAAAAAGTTAAAAATTAACTTCTTTTGTTTCAAAAAGTTAAATATTAATTAACCTGTATTTTTTGTATCTTTAAATCAAAATAAAGGTCTTCGGATCTTCTCGGGATGAAATAAGCTATATTCTTTTGAAAGATTTTAACATTTGATAGATGGTACTTTTTTTAAAGTATTCCACTTCGCATATTATTTTACCCATAGAAATGCCAATAGTCAATTTAAAAATAATCTTTTTGAAAAAGCAAAAGCAGACACGCGAACGCCTAACTCAAGACCCGAGTGCGACATTCATTATAACAGAAATGGCCGTTTTCACACTAGAGACGGATTATACGTGTGAGACGGGTTATCCGTTTGATGATTCGCCGTGTCAGATAGGTAATACGTCTTAATTGGAAAATGGAATAGTTTTAATTTTGAAGGAGCAGTCCGCCTGACTTTTGCAGACAGGATTATCCCTTCCGGATAGCCTGTGTACAGCCACCCCCTCCCCTCAGAAAAAGTCGGAGAAGGGGTTTCTGTGGGGAGGGCGCGACTATAGACAGGCGAGTCTCAGACGGATAATCCATTTCTAGCTCTAGTGTGAAAACGGCCAATAACAAAATTCCCGTGTCCAGCGTTTTTAATGATAGCGAAGGACTGTACGGAACGACTGTTTGCCGTAGCCTTGTCCGTAGACCTCATTATTCCGCGCGGCTAATGCGTTTCGGGTCACGTGGTCCGAGCGAGTTCGCCACCGAAATGCCTTGACCGAGATTGCGTGGGAAGGCGCCGTACAGGGAATAGGCATGGCAATGTCTACCGTAGCGTCAGAAAAAACAGGGAAATGTTGTTTATCGGCAACGTGTTTTACAAACAGTGACATCTCTGCGTGTTGTTTCACTAGTATTTCGAGGGCACGACCTCCTGAATATCGCAAATATTAATCCCCAGCAAGAAGCCAGATTTTTGCTATGCAAAAGATTAGTTCACCGAGAGAGCGGCGGAAATGGAGCCTAGGTCTTGGTCAACACCTAAAAGGCGCTTCACCTAACGTGCGTACGGAGTCACACTAGCCGGGAAAGTAAAAACGCAATCATAAGTGAGTTTAGTACCTTCATTAAGAGTAGCAAATCTAGGGAACAATTTCTTTTACGGTTAACTTTTTTTTATCCTATTTACGGCTAACGGTTAAAATTTTTCAATTTTTACGGCTATCGACTAAATTTTTGGCCGTTTTACGCCTATCGGTTAACCCCATTGAGACCCTCATAACTGCAGAAAATATGAAAGAGGCTTTAGAATACCACAGTTGCCTCAAAGGCTGTGGAGCAGCTGTTGTACAAGTTGATACCTGCACTAAGTCGGTTGGCGTGGAAAACAAAATCCCTGGAATCAACCTTCTGAACAACTTCTTATATAAGGACACTGGAGTCCGTGCCTGGAAAGCTTTCAAAGTTGGTCCAGGTTGTTTCATTCCGTATGAGAAAGTAATTATCGAAAGGCAAGGGGACACTGGACTGAAGGTAATTCAACCTTTTGGTGTCAGAACGAAAGAACGAGGTACTATTGCAGAAAACACTCGGCCTCTAAGTGAAATTTTCCCGTGCACGGAGACTGGATGTGTTCTCAGTTTTAAAACACTCGACGAGGTTGAACAGCATATGGATTCAGGAAAACAAGTAAGAGAGTTAGAATCGGAGTCCCTGTATGATAGCATCAGAAAAAAGTGGACCAAGAGGCTTACCGGCGTTAATGTAGCCTTTCATGAAACTGGAACTTACTCCGCAGAAGAACTAGACTTTTCACATCCCTCTTTGAGCAAAAAAGATCAACAGCCAATGGGATGGGCACTCAAAACGGTAAAGAAGCCGTCGAGAATGGAGCCCATGTAAAAGCGTATTTGGTTCAGAAGTTTGACACAGGCTGTAGAAGTGGGCAAAAGGCAAATCCGGTTCAGGTTGCTCGGGAAAAGAAAATCGTTAAGGACGATGCTGGACATTTGTTGTTCACCCGACAGGAATGGAGAAGAGCACAGCAGATAAATAATTTTTTCTCAAGGCTATCAGCAGTCCAGCGACAGACACAAATGGAAAAAGATACGAGTGAATATTCTACGAGCCAGGAATTTACCGAGGAGGACCCGGATTTAGAAGCGTTAGAAAATGAAATTATGCTTGAGAATCTGAGAGAGATATGTCCAGGATCGATTTAGCAAAAATTTGCTAGCAAATTGTTTTCGCAACTGTCGCAAAAGAAATAATTGAGAAAAAATTATGTCAGAAAATCACTTACAAATATCGCAAAAATCGCAAAAATAACAAGTCTAACAAGAATCAAGACTTAGAAACAAAAGAAGCCAAGAAAGTCCCCGAAATGTCCGCAAACATCGCAAAAATCGCAAAAGTAACAAGGATTTTTCTTGCTAGCTGAAAACACCCGTGACAAATATCGCAAATATCGCAAAAATACCAAATCTAACAAGAATCAAAACTTAGAAAGAAAAGAAGCCAAGAAGGGCCCCGAAATGTCCGCCAATATCGCAAAAATCGCAAAAGTAACAAGGATTTTTCTTGTGGGCTAAAAACAACCTTGACCATATCGCAAAAATCGCAAAAATAACAAATTTAACAAAATTCTAGACTTGGAAAAAGAAGAAACCAAGAAGGGCCTTGAAATGTCCGCAAATATCGCAAAAATCGCACAAGTAACAAGGATTTTTCTTGCTAGCTGAAAACACCCGTGACAAATATCGCAAATATCGCAAAAATAACAAATCTGACAAGAATCAAGACTTAGAAAGCAAAGAAGCCAAGAAGGGTCCCGAAATGTCCGCAAATATCGCAAAAATCGCAAAAGTAACAAGTATTTTTCTTGCTCGCTGAAAACACCCATGACAAACATCGCAAAACTCGCAAAAAATAACAAATGTAACAAAATTCCAGACTTAGAAATAAAAGAAGCCAAGAAGGTCCCCGAAATGTCCGCAAATATCGCAAAAGTCTCAAAAGTAACAAGGATTTTTCTTGTGGGCTAAAAAGAACCTTGACCATATCGCAAAAATCGCAAAAATAACAAATTTAATAAAATTCTAGACTTAGAAAAAAAAGAAGCCAAGAAGGCTCCCGAAATGTCCTCAAATATCGCAAAAATCGCAAAATAGCTTCAAACGTCCACTGACGGTATTTCTTAAATCAGAGGTTGTAAGTGAAGCAATCATGTTATGACATTTTGTATTTGTATGGTCTAGGTCTTTCGGTGTCTTTTCTCGGTGGTTTTGTTATAATTGTTCATGACGAAGCACACATAAAATGCACAATTAGATCAATTGTTATTTAAAATAAATGGATTGGCATACACATATATAAATAACATTCATTGAGGTGGTTGTTGTTTAACTATAAGCCTTGATTTAAACGGGAAGGAATACCAAATCACTGGCAATCCCTTTTTACAAAACTTTGGGTATTGCACAGCAACATTCATGTTTATACCCGTTTTCTTTCCCCCGATGTGCTATTCTTGATATATTGGAACGATTGTTATGGTAGGTTCTTGGCCATGAAAAGTTCTGCTACCACCCCCTTTTATTGCTTAAAATTTGCCCCCGTCTGTGAGCGACACTCCTTTCTATGCATTGTAGCTGTATGTTGATAGAAGAACGAAGCATACACAAATTAATATTACAGTATTTTGCTACTGTCAGTAATTATAAATAGTGTCACGTTTGTAACTGATGATTTCATTTTCGCGAAAATGGAACGCATTACAAAATTACTGGACAAGAAAGTATTTCAGTTAAGATAACCATTACTATTAGGGAAAAACAGTGATGCGCGGGTGTTCTGGGCCCCTTTCTTGCCCTTCAACAATTCTTGCCTATTCTTGTTACTCTAGCCAATTTGTGGCGTTTTGCCATTTTTCCAGGCTCTCCTTGCCCTTTTCCCTTTCTAAGTGTAGAATTCTGTTAAATTTGGTATTCTTGCAATTTTTGCCATATTTGTTGTTCAATCTCTTCACATAGCATGAAAAATTCTTGTTACTTTTGCGATTTTTGCGAAATTTGTGGACTTACTGAAGCCCTTCTTGACCTTTCCTCTTTCCAAGTGTAGAATTTTGTGAAATTTGTTGTTCTTGCTATTTTTGCCATATTTGTTGCTCAATCTTTTCAAATAGGAAGAAAAATTCTTGTTACTTTTGCAATTTTTGCAAAATTTGCGGACTTCTCGACGAGTTTCTTGTCCTTTTCTCATTCTAAGTGTAGTATTTTGTTAAATTTGTTATTCTTGCTATTTTTGCTACATTTGTTGCTCAATCTTTTCACTTAGCAGGGAAAATTCCCGTTACCTTTGCGATTTTTGTGAAATCTGGGGACTTCATGAAGCCCCTCTTGGCCTTTCTCTTTTTAAAAGTAGAATTTTGAAAAAATTGTTTTTCCTGCTATTTTTGCCATATTTGTTACTCAATCTTTTCATATAGCAAGAAAAATTCCGAGTTCTTACTTTTTCGATTTTTGCGACATTTGCTATTTCTTCTTTACTTTTCTGATAGCAGTTTTCTTTAAATCTTTTTTGCTAAAATTGCGAAAACAATTTGCTAGCAAATTTTTGCTAACAAGATCGATCCTGGACATAAGTGGAAAATCTACGTATAGCAGTAAACCTTTAGGTGACTGCACCTCATGATCAGCATCCTATTGTTGTCCGAAATAGGAACCTGTGCGAACTTTCAAAAGCGAGGAAACCCAACAAATGGAAGGTAGCTGAGCTAAGAGAAATTTTTCAATTAGAGGTCTCTGGCTCACTAGCGAGAGAGAAATTATTCATCGAACCTTTAGAAACATACGCTAAATGTTTCACCTGTTTCACACGTGTAGAAAATGAACGTTAACGCGCATGCCATCGTTAAATCTTCGAATCCCTCTCTTGATTTTTTTCAATATATGCTTAAATGTTTACGGATTATGGTGCAGCCTGCAATGGAGACCTGTGCTGTTTTTCGAAATGGCCCTACACAATCAATACTTTGTTTACAAGATCAGAAGAAACATTGAGTTGTACCTTATTTACAATTTACTTTGGTATTTTCAGAGTTAAAATGTGATATTAACTAGACCGCAGAAAGCATTTTAAGTCTTCCTCGAAGTGGGATAAAAAGGCAAAAAACGAGGTGAAACAGGGCGCCACCCTTTCTCCTTCCCAGACTACCGCTAGGCTCGCTTCACTCGCCGATTTATTTTCGCCCTTGCTGATCTGATATATTTTTCGCCTTTTCCCCACCGCGGAGCTTGATCCCAGGCTACTGACGTTAGGATCGGCATTAATCCACTGCCTAGTTAGATGTCATCAAATAGTTTGCTGTGATCTAAGAACTGACCAATAATGAAACTTCAGAATAGGAGAAGTGCTTACAGTGTAACTACATATAATCGCAGTATAATAAAGCCGGAGATTGCCAATTCGTGTCAATGAATTCAACTATTGGACCAATGCTTGGCTAGTAATCGTTATTTATTATTTATCTATTTTTTTTTACAGGAAGCTGGTGTGCAGTCTTCTTCAGGGCAAAGCTTTGTGACAACTCCAGAAGAAAATGAGGAGGTAGAATTAATGGCATGTGAAGCTACCATGAGTGAAGATGATGAGTGAAGACGCAGACGAGACTCTGTTGTCGCAGGCCTCTCAAATATAATCAGTGATCCTGAGGAAGAAGTAGGCATTTGTGCGACGAGAAGGAAATTCAAAATGAGAGACGACAGGCACTAAACGATGCCCTGGGAAACCTGACAAGTGGACGATTTAGTCCCATCCTTTCTACTTCAAATGCTTCATTGGACGATATTTCATCTACCCAACAAAAGTACTATACTCGCAAGGCGAGGGAAGCTGTTGCAGCTACGCTGTCAGTCATAAGTCCTGGGCAAGAAAAAGACCTTTGGAAATGTATCCAAAATGATTCAGACTTAATCGAGAGGGACGAGAGTAGCTCATCCAAAGGAAAGTATTTCGACACACACACTGGGCTCATTGATGTCTTGATCAAAGCTTATGATCAAGCGGAGTCGTGGCAAACTAAACGCCAGATCCTATCTCTTTTCGCAAATGACTTTAGCCGCAGAGAATTGCAAACGTTAATCCCTGGT